GTATGTGTGTGTGTGTGTGTGTATATATATATATATATATATACTAAATACTTTTGCTTTTATATAATGATGACAATTTGGGTACAGTTGTGATGCCCTAAAAGAAGTGACCCAGACAGTTTTTGACAGTGAAATTTACTTTACAGTGTCCTTGAAATGCTAAAGTAAAAGTTTTGTCAAAGACTGATGCTGAGAGCAGAATGAGATATCCAGCGTCTCTGGGGAAGACATTAAAAATCACAGCAGCTTCTGATCTCCCTGAACACAAACTCGTCTGTTCGAGGGTGAAGAAGCCACATAGATCATTTTACCTTAAGAGCCCAGATCAAAGCTACACTCGGTCTCTCAGATGGAGTGACAGGAGGATCACAGGATCTTCTTCACCAACTAACTGCTCAATGAGGCCAGTCTGTCATTTTAAAGATTCACTGAAACTGTGATGGACGTGTACTTTGCCAAACCTGTCTGACAGCGTCTCCCTACACACACCAGGCAGAGATTAGTACATTATACAGTCATTACCCTCAGGTTCCTTCTGTCTAAAGCTGCTTTCTAATGTAACTAAGCTTTTCATTAGCCCAGGCTTCATACTTGCCAACTGTCTATGTAATAAACCGGGATGGTCTTAGTGAGATATATTCCAGCTGGGTAGAGCACTGTACTTTCACTCTACAGTTTCCTCCAGCATATGTTACGAGAGAGCGGTTTTTATTAGTAGAGTGATAACAGTAAATTAGGCAGTGTTTTTGCTTGAGTGCTCAATAGGAGATCAGGTTTTTCAGTTGGATTTTTCGCTAAATTAATACTAGGGTATTAGAGGGTTTCTTGGCCTGTGAATGGCATAACAGAGTTGTTATCAGCACTGAGGCCCTCATGACCTTGGAAACGAGCCATTTTCCTGTGCATTAGTACTGTGTTTTCTAGTCACATTAGATTCCGTACTGGAGCTGAGTTGAGTGAGCACAGGTTCAGTTTAGAGTCAAGAGGCCACAGGAAAGTCCAGCTTTGATCCTCGTATCTGGGCTCTGCTTCCTGTTTTGCTTCAAAGAAGCATGGACACTCTGTTTCAGGCCTGAAGAGTGAGACATAGAGAATCATAACTGGTTCTCAGAAATGTTCTCATTCACAATGTCATGTGCTTAATTTAGCTTTCCTTCTTCTGCTCTTTCCTTCTCATTATTACTATAGCAGTCAAAAGTTTGAATACATCTACTCATTCTTGATGATTATTATTTTTCTATAGTGAAATAGTGAATTGTGGCTCAAAAATGGGTCCTGATTGGGTCATGGACAGCAGGGGGGAAACGATGTGAATACAAATAATAAAACCATGCATTTATAATCATATAATATATATAATCGTATAATCATGCATATTAAGGATAGTAAATATAAATATATACAAAATATAAATAATACAAATAATAAATCGGAATAGTCTTATGAGCTTTTAAAAGGTACAAATGCTTCTAATCAAACTATCTGTGTCGGTGCACTTTTTATTTATTTATTTACTGTATTTATTTATTTTTTTATTTTTATTTACACTATGTTTAAAAGTTTGGGGTCAGTATTTATTTATTTTATTTTTTTACTTTTATTCAGCAAGAATGCTTTAAATTGATCAAAAGTGAGAGTAAATTCCTAATAGTTATTTAAAATTCTAATACTTCACAGTATATTTCTTTTTACTGGTTTTTTTTATCATATATGCAGCCTTGGTTAGCATAAGAGACTTCTTTCAAAAGCATATTAAAAATCCAATCTACCCAAACAAATGGTTTGTTAATTTATTTACTAAATTATATCACTTAAAGTGGAAATTTATACCTTAATACAATTTATGTCTACAAAATGATTCAAACTAATCAAATTTAAAAACCTTTCAAGCATTCAAGCAGAAGCTGTAAGCTGTAGATCAAACGGTCTTCGAGATCATGAGAAACTCGGGTGTTTAGTCAACTTTTCATTTTAATCACCTTTTTTACTTGTTAATGTAGATGTGTGTATTGCATGTAAATGTTGGTTTCTGTATTAAAGCAATGGTGAAAGTTTGTGGTGTTGTCATTTTTAATGTCTGTAATTGAGGTTTTCACTGAAGCATGTTTCTTGTGGTCAATTCAACAGTGATAGTCCACACATTGAGCCCCCCCTAGTGGATGAACCTGCACCTGACGCTGCCTCTGAAATCCACAACAGCGATGATGGTGAGCCCAGATGCCATTCAAAAAAACATACTAACAAGCGCACAAATTTTTCATAGACACACTGTTGCTGCCAGTACAAGTCAGCTCATCGTGGAAGCTCCTGTTTCATGCCCTCTTTTGTCCACGCACCCCTTCTGCAGCTCCAAACCTGTTACGATAAATGTGCTCTAACCTGCCTGGCTTCTTGTGCAATAACCCTTCCTCTTTTCCTTGTGCTCTTCCTCTCTTCTCACTTTCTCCCCTTCCTGTCCTCTCTCTCTTTGTCTTTCCCTGTCTTTCATGTCTCTAAATAGTAAAGTCAGGGTCCTTGAACGTTTCAGAGGCTGACCCCATTGAGGCCATCGCACGTTTTGACTACTCTGGACGCACCAATCGTGAGCTTTCCTTTAAGAAGGGGGCGTCTTTGCTGCTGTACCACCGTGCATCTGAGGATTGGTGGGAGGGTCGCCACAACGGCACTGAGGGACTGGTGCCGCACCAGTACATAGTAGTGCAAGACATGTAAGCTGTCTGGTTTATTGACTTGAATTAGTGATATCGATCAGAACTGCTTCTTTAACCAGTTATTCAGTGTCCTACTAGTAATAACTGATTAACTATCAGTAAGACCGCCTATAGTGTATGTGAATTCTAGAGGTGTCTGTGATTTTGTGTGATAGGCCGGATGGATATGCAGGCAGAGGAAGTCCCAAAGCTGACCTAGAAGCTTCCCATGATGCTGCGGAAGAGAAGGTGTCCACTAGAGCCAGTGCCAGCTCACCCATTGGAGGTCATGTAGCTGATATCTACCTAGCTAACCTCAGCAAGTAAGTTAACAGTTAATCTGGAATGATAAAAATGGTGTGCAAAAAAGAAAAATTGTACATATATATATATATATATATATATATACACACAGTATATATAT